TAAAAACCTGATAAAGCGCTATATAAGTAAGTCCATTTACCATATCCTTGATGGGAGATGGCCGATAGCCAATAATGACATCCCAGCTGTTGCACACACTGCTTTGTTTTGGCATTCTCTATTGTTCACCTAGAAGAGCACATGTGGCACGTTCCATCAGGGCAAGTTATGTTTGAAGACAATACTCTTCTCCATCTCGTCAGAAATGTTGAACTCCAAAAATGTATCTTCTAGACACAAACATTTTTTGTTTTAGCACACTTTGAAAATGCATGTTTCCACATCACACTTGTATGAGTTGCATACTGGACCAATCCCAATGATCTGTGCACATTTAAACAAAAATTCTTCATTTGGTTTGACTCACCAAAATGCATTGTGTGTGTCACCTACGTATTGAATGCATTTCCCTGGTTATAAAACATTTGCGTAGCAGTCTTTTTCTTTTTACTTGTCTTTTGTTGGCACATTACCACCACCTGTACATCAGTGGAAGAGTGTGAAACAGGATTGTGTGTCACCCACATGATCGAATGTGCATGACATAAACACAATGGGGACCCATTATAGAAAGAAATAGCTCCATAGTCATAACAGAGGGAAAAGACCTTGAGAAACATCCGTAAATGAATGTAAAAACTGCATAGAATAAATATATAATATGAGTCACAACAACCATAACATATTTTCAAATTGATAATATTAAGAAATATTGTGGATTTCACAATGCTTTGTTAATGCTCCAGGTTTGCAAATTGTGTCTTGTGAAAATATTTGCATAATGCACAAAGAGTGTAGTTTAATGTATATGGCAATAACATCAAACCAATTTAGTGACAAAATGCAACATAGCACCCCATGCATATGTGACATACATATTCATCTTCACAGATTCCCCACACGTTATGCTAAATAAAGCATTGTGACAGTTCTACAAGATGGATCTCCCACAAATGCATTAGAATAATATTTCCAAAACCTTCTCTCACATCTTTAAATTAGAAACCATGAGCGGCTATTTCCAAGAAAACCAAATACTTTTGTTTAATTGATTTGATACTTTATTTTCAATCCAGAAAAATTCAGCAGAGCCCTGCTTTTGATGCCCTGATCTATATTTATGCATGAGGGATTTTCTCATCCAATCCCCTCCTACCAGATTGAAACTGGCGACCTTCCAGTTGCTGGCCCGCTCTCTAACCTCCAGGCTACTGCGCTGCTGTGAGGAGGAGAAACACAACTGTTGCCATCTACACATAGATATCTTATCTTTAAGGTGTTTCAATGTTTCAATACCAAGACGTTTCCTCTCTGTTGACCTTGTTAATACAGTAGGCTATGTTTAAGTGTTGTAAAGTACAACCTAGGTGGATGAGAGAGATGAAACAGAGAGAGCTGTCCGTGGTGCTGAAATCAGAGCACAGCACGTGGCCTGGTGCGTTACTATGGCTACAGCTGTCTGTATCCCTAAAATAACCATACACACACATAGTACACACACATAGTAACCTTATTATAAAAACGTCAATCTGTTGCGGTTCCTAAATCCAGCAGTCAGATTGATAAAGATGAAGAAACGTTGAGAGCAACAGTGTTTCTTCTTCTTCTTCTTCTTCCTCTTCTTCTTCTTCTTCCTCTTCTTCTTCCCTGCACCGTGCACATAATAAAACGACCATTTCCTTTTTCCTGTATTATACTGAGTCCTTTGTGTTTCGAGACGTGCTTTTGAGAGGTTGGCTTTCTGTCCTTTGTGAAGTGCTTTGATGCAGATTGACTGACACACAATTCAATTTGCACAGTGTGAAACAAAGCTACACTTGGCCACTTTGCATATTTGTGGCTACAGAGCCGCAACATGTCTGAGGTTTGATGAGGGAACTGCCATCGTATCCCTGCACTTCCTTACTTTGAAAATACATGTGAGAAAAGTGGACGATGCTCTCCACAAGTTGCCTCTGAGCAAGGCATCCCTGAATGTTGCACTGGAGCTGTTTCGTGCTTTAAATTCAGAACTGTGTTTGTTCCGTGCAGTCTTTACATTAATATATGATATCTTTTTTGATACAGAAAATGTGTTGTGTAAAGAAGCATTTTTAAAGCAAAAGTTTTACATTTTGGATGAGAGGATGAGAGGATGAGAGGATGATTACTGCGATCATTTCCGTCTGTTATATAGTAGGCTATAGTCAGTGGCTAGTTAGCTTAGCTTAGCATAATGACTGAAATTGAGAGGAAACAGCTAGCCTGGCTCTGTCTAAAGCCGAGAAAATATACCAATTGCATCTTCAAAGCTCACTGATTTAGACTGCAACTGTTTGAGGTGTTGTTAGCAAAATGATCTCATCATTTAAGAATTAGTATGTTTTTAGGCATTATCGTTCATTAGAAACATTTCTGCAACTTCTGATTGGTTTACAGCAATCTGCTCTACATGAATGGACACCTTTGTGCCTTTTAATGCACCTTCTGTGCAGCTAGTCCAAAATGCTGCTGCACGTTTGCTGACTGGCCACAAAAAGCGCGACCACATCACCTCTATTCTGGCCTCACTACACTGGCTTCCAGTTCGGTTCAGAATTGATTTTAAAATCCTTTTATTTGTTTTTAAAGCACTAAATGGGCTGGCTCCGGCCTATATAGCTGAACTGCTCCAGCGCTACACCCCAGCCAGAGCTGGTCTGCTGACCAGCTGCTGCTGGTAGTGCCCAAGACCAGGCTAAAAACCCGAGGGCACCGAGCCTTCGCAGCAGCTGGCCCTAGGCTCTGGAACACTCTGCCCCTCCATGTGAGGTCGGCCCAGACCCTAGGGGTTTTTAAATCAAAACTAAAAACACACTTCTTCTCTCTGGCTTTCTAGTTAGAGCGGAGCACGACTCCTGACTTTTCCGTGTGTTTTATTTTTATTTTGTCTTTTAAGATATATCTGTTGTAATTTATTGTCGTTTAGTGTGATTTGTAGTAATGTGTTTTTATTACCTGTACAGCACTTTGGCTCGACCAAAAATCGCTTTTAATGTGCTATATAAATAAAACCTGATTTGATTTGATTTGATTCTGTGGAAATCGTATACTCCACATCTGCATGCTGCTGTGACATTTTCTGACTTTTTGTCTTTTCTGTATACATACTGTACATGCAAGAGTAATATCGACAATATTCTACAGATTTTGGTTCCCAACAGCTTGCAAATATTTTCCTGAAAATGTGTGAAAATTACAGTCATGTTTTTGGAGGAACCATCTCTTTTATTCTTCAGTTAACGACAATTCTGAGGTGCATAAATGTGAAGTAAGCTTTGAAAGTGTTAGTTCGGCTGGTTGACTTTCCCTGGCTAGGCAAAGAAAAGAGGACAAGATGTCAAAAGGAATCTGGATCAACCAAAAGGCGCCATGTTAACTTCAGTGTTTGGTCCCTGGTGGGACATATTTACCCAGAGTAACCTGGACCCTACAGTAGATGGACCTTTGATGTTGTACACTCAGTATGAATTTTCAGGATGCTATAACCTGAGTGATAATCATTTCATTTCCACAATGATTATCTTTCAGAGTCATGGATCAATGGTGCGAGCTGTATACGAGGGTCCACAGCCCTCAGTGAGTCCTCCTCCATCCACAGCGACGCCCTGTATCAACTGACCAAGGACGTGTCCTCAGTAGGACTGGAGCCCATGTCCTCTTGTAAAGAGGAAGTCTGCGCTGAGGAATCAGAGACTCTGCTGAAGGTAATTCAAGGGCAACAGAAAGTACGAGTGTACAGAAAAATCACAAACAACAACATAATTAAGTACTTTTCCCCTAATTTGGGAACTAGTTTGGCATTAAAGCCTGCTCATACTCACTAGTCAAAAGTTAATCATGTAATATTTCCTGCATGGTTAATGGATTGCATAGCATTTCATCATTTCATGACTAAGCATAAAATAGAAAGGATCTCATTAAAATCTGTTATAATGATGGAGGACTCCGCTGTTCTGCAAGGTTTCTTTTTTTCAAGATGTTTATTGTTGGTCTCTTTCAAAAAATAAATGTTAACTCGGATGTTTGGGAACGTTGAAACCAAAAAGTGGTTAATGTTATTGCAGGGAAAATACTATTATAAGTCTGATATTAGTGTAGGTTTGATATGGTTTATATCTCTGTTGGGTAGAATGATTCCTCATTATGAGGAAGACAGATTCCTCATTATGAGGAAGACAGAAATATAACTGGGACACATTTCTGTAGCAATGCTTCAGATACACTTTCTTACACTAATTGCGTCTGTGATTGTGGCGTAGCAGAAAACTCAGGTCTCTCTCCAAGTAATATCAGTGGGCTGCTACCTCTCTCTACACTGCAAAAAATACCAGTCTTCACCTGTCACTCTTTCAAATATGAGTAATATTTAAAAAAAAAAATTTAAAACAGTAAAAAATCTCCTTGAAAGGGCAAGTTGTTGGACCTATTTTTTCCATTCAACTTCTGAAGGTTTGAAACATATGATGTATGTTTCATAAACAGAAACACATCTATAAACAGGTGAAAGCCCTCATAACATAATATAGATGTTTACAACCGTGACAGAGATGTGCGTATAGAAAAAAGCCAACAAGAAATCAGAACGACATTTTTTAGCATCTAGACCACCTGACATATTGAAGACACTTTTTACAGTGTGGTATGCTCCGTGCCAAAGCGCGCGGCAGCTCCGGATCCCACAGTGTGAGAGATGGAGAGATGGTATCAGCAGCACGCGCTCAGCCATGCTCACATTATGCGCTGCCTCTGAAATCGGACACATCTTCTCCAACGGAACAATGCGCCGCGCTGCGCAGAGCCGCGGCAGCAGCAGACCTGTGGACTAACAGCGGGGAGCTCAGCTGGAGTTTAGGCATTATGGGGACGAAGGTGGTGATGGTGCATCTAGCTGCTTTTTACTGCGGAAACCACCAACTTTCACTCCCTCTCCACTCCTTCTTCTTCCTCTGAATCTGTGTGTGTGTTTAAAGCGCACCAGCATGCAGAACTCCCCAGCAGAAGACAAGATCCCAGTGAGTACACCAGTATCCATCCTTTCCTGCACTGAGGATCGGTCATCCTCCCACTCTCACACTTTACATTTGGCCATGCTGTTCACAGTAAAGTGTTCGGAAAGAGTTGGTGTAACTTACTACCGTTGTTTGACCCAACGACACGTTCAATTACTGTAAGGGAATCAGAAAACAGGAGAGGTTGAAAAAGATTTACAACCAAGTTGAATGAGTTGCCAAATCAAATTCCAATACAAGTGGGACCAAACAACTTTATTTTGACTAATGGGAACTATAAAGATGCAGACAGAATTGGATACAGAGAAATGCACATCTTTTATTTTCTTTGAGTTATGTTGTGGTTAATTAAATGGGTACATTATGGCTGTCGTTATCAATGATGTAGGAAGGTGTTGAGAACCTTTTACCAAAACAAGCATCTTAGAACTAACATTAGGCTAATCATGCAGGTTGTCCAAGTCAGCAAACAGAAGGTAATGAGAAGCACTTCCACAACGTTTAATGGATATTAATATTGAATTGATGACAGGTGCTAAAATGCAAAAAATCATGTTTAGACAAGAGAAACTAATCTAACAATTAATCTGGATGCACAGTCTATTGTAGAACAGTTTTTAAGACCTCATTTTGGTTGATGTTGCTGGCATTGTGTTTGAAATCACTGCAATCCCATCATAACAAACACCAAACTTCTATAGTCAGTGGTATTTACATGTGGGATTTTTGGTGGATATGTTTGAGGGCACAATTCCAAACTGATAATTTTCAAAACAGATAAAATGGTGCGAAGTTAACGTGGTTCATTATAAGGTAAATATTGTGGGATTTTGGACCTGGCCCATGTAAAAAATGATAAAAGGTGTAACTACTTCCATCCAACAAGTGCAAGGAAGATATCAGAATGTGGATGCCTAAGAGTTCCAATCAGTCTAATTACATAAAACCACCTTTGTGAATGGACCATGGTGGGGCCTTTAAATATTTTAGCTAATCTGGCTATAGAACTAACAGAGAATGTGGCTATATTAAATGACATCCAGATCTAAGATACATTTCACAGAGAGCCATGCCAAGTATGTGAGGGAAATCAGAGTTAGAATCCCAAGTTTACCAACTCAGGGCCAAATTCACTAAACCTGGAACACTAAGACAAAAAGTAACCATGAAATGCACCTTTAACTGCACTGGCAAGCACAACTAGTGTTTCGCTGCTCCTCTGCACTTATTTAAATTAGGTCATAGGCAGACATTTGGAGTATATTTGGCTCTTTTCCATGTAGTTGAGCCTCGTTACAAAAACAATCCAATTAAAAGTTACAGTGGCATTATGAGCATCTTCAAAGGGAACTGAAGTAATTTATAGACTGGACTAATGGACTCTGAAGTGCATTCATAATGTCTGCTCAAACTCATTTGTTTTTGGGGTGCCTGGTAGGGTAAGACAGCTGTGTCATGAAAAATGAAGCCTCTTCAACAGACACTAGCTAGCATGCCATAGTGTAACTGCAGCTTGTTTGCTAGCTAGTTTATCAAACTTCATTGACGTTTCTATAAACTGTATTTTACACAAACATTACATCAAATTACAATATGATAACAATGTTACAACAACTTATAGTGATAACTGAATATATTTTGAATAGAATATACGTATCGGCTTTACAGTGCTTTATAGTGTTTTAGCTCACTGTAGCTAGCCGCCACACAACTTTAGTAGTGTAGTTATTTTTGCAGCAGGCAGCTGCTTTAACAAAAAAGCCACTGTCCACTACCTTACAGACACAGTGAGAGAAGAGCTGGGCAACACAGCAGAGCACTAAGCTGCTAAAGTGACAGATATTTGTACAGATTTTTCCTGGAGGTTGGTTGAGACCAAAGACTGAGCTAAAAGAGAGCACAAGACAACACTTTGCCAGGTAGCCAGAAAAACAACTATGCTAACGGTATGTAGCTTCTGGCTCTGGTTTGTTGACGAGCACAACTGTATGCTAACAAGTTCCCTCAGAATCAGAATCAGAAACAGGTTTATTGCCAGGTAGGTTCGCACATACTAGGAATTTGACTTGATGTCATGGTGCATACATAAAATATAAAAAACAAGAAATCTAATATAAAACAAAAAATCTTTTACACTGTAATAAAATATAGTTAATAAAAATAAAAATAAAGCAGTAACATGGAAATAGAATGCTATGAATGCATTTTAGAATATAAACTATGAAATGTGAAATAAGAATATGTGCAGTAAGGAGTATGAACATTGTGTGCATTAATGTAATGCATATAGTCTATAGTCTATGTATCAACCTAATGGTGACGGTATGTCAATGTTCACGACTTGTTTATACGGCTTATACATCCGGGAGGGTCACAGTTTGTGAATGGAGCAGAATTAACTTAGCACAGATGCACAACATCATATTGAAATGCTGTCCTTCTGATAAGTAAAAGCTGCTCTCTCCTCATGCCCAGAGCCTATAGAGTGTTCCCTCTTGTGTCCTCCATGTTTAGTCTCCCTCTGTCTAAATAAAGAATAAAACTGGCAAAGGTGAGCTGACTGCCCACTCTGCTGCTGGAGGTTCTCACTTCAGTGTTTTTGAGAACCTGCCAAAAGCCACTAGATGTTTAAGTTCATTCAAACAGTTATTACATAACTCCTGTGCTGCGTAAAGCTTCTGTGTATTTGGTCTTCAAACCATGTGTATGTGTGTAATTGATTGTGAGGACGTGCAGAATTATTGGATATGAGGATATGATGGAGACGATGGTTTGTTTACTCTAATAGTGAATTAGTGTGTATTTTTTTGAATACTTACAGCTGCATACTGTGTTCTTCATGACGCAATGAATAATGTGTGTCTTTACAATACAGATGGCTTCATGTGTACTTTTATTGTACAGTTGCATACTTAGGCTACTGTGTGTTTTTACAGTACCGCTGAATTCTGTGTTTTTAACTTTTACATCTCTCTCCCGGCAGGTGGTGGGTTCTGCTTCCAGTCCTCAGTGCAGCGAGGAAGGCCTTTGCTTCTCTGATGGCAGACGGAAAGTTGACTACGTTCTGGTCTTCCATCATCGACGGCACGGCTCCGTGCGATCTTTTGCCAGCAACTCGGTTTCACACGACAGGATATCCATTGTTTCCAATGGCAACTTTCCCACTGTGGCGGGCTCCGATGCAGCTGCAGGAAGAGGAGGCAGCAGCCCGGGGAGGGAGGCGGCGAGTGTCGGCGAGGTGTTCGTGGAGCTCGGGGGGGCAGGAGGAAACGATCTGACGGAGCCTGCTGACCATGAGATGGATCTGATCAGACAGGAGTTCGAGGCCAGCCTGCAGGAGGCCGGCCTGGAGATAGAGAGAGACAAAGAGGTGAGCCTGCATGTGTGTCCTCCCCTACTCTCTTACAATTATGATTTAAAAAGCATTTTGTTTTCAAGGTCCCCTATCATGCAAAATGCACTTTTTTACATCTTTTATACATAAATATGTGTCCCTGGTGTGTAAGGGAACTCACAAAGTGTCAGAAAACAAAACCCTCTCTCTTTTTCTCCGTACCCACATCTCTAAAAACGGGGGTACAACGGAGCTGATCCAGATTTGCTTCCAATATGACGTAATATCGGAAATGTGAGCTGGCTTTACACCCACGGTCCTATCAGAAAAGTCGCTATCAGAAACAATGAGCGACGTGTTTTGGACGTAATATGGTCTTTGTTTACATTAGCAAGCACCGCTAACACTCAGAGCTAACCTGTACTGGAGAGAGTATGTGTAAAAAAGCAGGAAATCAAAAAAGGAACTCGCCTAGTGGTAAACCCGCAAGAGAAAAAGCATTTGAGCTCCATACTGTTTCAGAAATAAGCCTTGATGTGGTTTTGAACATGATATGGCGTTTCATCATGGCAGCATTTAGCTAGGTATATGCCATGTTTTTGATATATTTTGATATATCTGAGACCCATAATATATGCCTAAAAATAGCATGATAGGAGATCTTTAATGAAGATGACAATTAGTGTCTGTTTGGTCACAAAACTTGTAATATAACTTCAGACATTAACGAGCAGCCTTTGATTTGATGCACAGACTTGACGGTACAGTTTTGACTGACTCTACTGGATTTCTAAACCCTGACACAGGATCTGATGTAACTCAGTCTTGAGCTATTTGAGGTGAGCGCCTACATGGGAACTTGGCTCTGATAGTAGAGAGAAGATGTGGGTGAGACTCGATGTGTTGTGGAGGATCTAAGGTGGCTTTTAGAGTCACGATGAGGTTTCTATTAAACTTGCAATTCCCTTTTACGTTTAATGTACCGTGCTGCTCTGCCTGCCTTAATCACCTCGACAAAATAACAGTCAAAAGCACATAAACATGTGATTGAGCTTTAGAGAGCACACAGTGCAGGCAGAATCTTGGCAAAAAGCACGATAAGATATTCCCCTGTATCTTCAGCTATTACGGGGCAGAAGTCAACAAAACAAATCCAACTCAATAGAAACTGAGTCGGTCAACTAAAGCACACAAACAAAACAAATATCCTCATCCACAACTATGAAACAGCTTCACTTAAAGGGGACCTATCATGCAAAATGCACTTTTGTACGTCTTTTATACATGAATATGTGTCCCCGGTGTTCCAGGGAACTCACCAAGTGTCAGAAAACACAACCCTCTCTATTTTCCTCCATACCCAAATCTCTAAAAAAGGGGCTGCAACGGATCTGATAAAAACTGATCCAGATTTGAACACTGGACAGTGGCGCTACGGCTATTGGGACAACTCCACCAATCAGGAGGAGACAGCCACGGCCATTGCCGTTCGAAAGCGCTGGAGACGCTGTAGTACATATGTGACCTGCTCTATCGAAATCAGTCGCATTGACCCGAAGACACATTTTGAGTTGTATACACTGTTGGAAAGAGGAGATTCCTAGCTTTCTAATGATATCAAGATTGTTTTTGTACTCCAAATATTAAGCAAAATATGTCACATTATATAATGACTGTCACCGAGTCATCATTTTGAGAAAAAGGCCTTCAAAGTTTCCTCTTCTCTGGAATCCATCGATCTGATTGATTATTAGCGGAGCAAATGATCAAAATAGTCCGGAGGGAAAATATTTCCGTTTGGATTACTGGTCTGGGGGAAGCTTGCGAGTGTGTGTGTGTATGTGTGTGTGTGTGTTTGTGTATTTTTGCGTTTGTGTATATTGTGTTTGTTTCCTAGGGAAAACACTCACGAGAAACACCGGCTGTTGTTATGCTTGCTGTGACGTTAAATTACTCCGTTCTCCGCTTGTAAATATGCCGTTACAAGCTTCATAGTTGTATTTATCATCTACATTTGCCGAAACAAGTTTAATATTCTGAAAGCCAAGACTTTGTTTAATTTAAATCAGATGAAAACAAACTGTAACGGACCCTGCCGTGTTATCTATGATTACTATATGCCTTACATTCATAATTTCAGCCGGAGGGAGGGGGAGCTGCGCTACGGAACAGCAGATTGCGAGTGAGAGGTGCCTGTCATCTTCCCTTCACAAGCTTCACAAATGTATTTATCGTGTGATTTTGGAAATAAAAGTTTCATATTCTGAAAGCCAAGACTTTGTTTATTTAAAATCAAACAAAACACCCGAACCCCGAAAAAATTGTTTTTTACGCAAATCCACGTTTATTTTGAAATGAGCCGTTGCGACTTCCGACTGATTTCGATAGAGCGGGTCACATATGCCAGGCCTGTAGATGGTGCTGTTCTCACAGAATCTGCCCTTGCAAAAACAGAGCTAAAAAATGTCAAATTGAGCAAAATGAGGCATGGCTAAAATGCATGATCTGTTTGGTATTTTGAAAAAAAAAAAGTATAAATATGCCTTATATAGGTATGGTCCTACACTATATTATTCAAATATAGCATGATAGGTCCACTTTAAATATGTTTTTGTATTCATTTGGCCATCCACAATATCATCTATTTTTTTACCCTTATTTCTGCATCAATTTGTCTAAAGAGCAATTCTCCATTTCACACTTAAGCTTCAGTTGTCACACTCATGAAGGCAGCATTCTGCACCTTGTTGCACAATGCTACCTGACAACCCTTATTAGAACGACATCAAAATAAACAAAAATAATGTAGCGTGAATCACACACACGAACAGCCTTGATCCCTCAATCTGATAGCCAACATCACAGTGTCACTCTAAGGGAAGATCAAGGAGAATATTCCCCAGTTTAATTACTTTAAGTCTTTGACGGCATTTTCTTGCCACATACTTGAATTGTTTTCAACACAAATCCTTTATTTTTTTATATGTATTAACATATATTTGTTTGTCCTTTCACTGTTGGTGACAGAGGCTCTTGGGAAAATACCAGAAAGGCTCAAACTAAAGTTAGCATATTAGGGAAATTGTGGCAGCATAGAATGTCAAACATAGACAAACTATATTGGCAACTATGTCTGTTTTCCTGTTTTATTTTGGAAAGTGTTCACCCCCTGTCTTATGTCTGTGTCTGCTTCCTGTCTCTGTGTTTTTCACCTGGTGCCCTTGTGTTTTTCCTGCCCTGCCCAGCTTTGTTCTCTTGTGATTACCCTTGTGTGTATTTAGTCTTGTATTCCCTTGCGCTCCTTGTTGGTTCGTTGTTGTTCCCATGGAGGTTCTCGTTGTTTCCCTGATTTTGGTTCCTGATCTCTCGTCTAAATTCTGGGTTTCCCTTGTCTGCCCTCCTGTGTCCTCCGAGTCGTCCTGGTTTGTTATCAGCTTTTTTTTTTAATGAAAGCTCGCTTTTTTCACTTGATTCCTTATTTTTGTACTGCTTTTGGGTCCTGACCTACTACCAAACCATGACAAATAACACGTTTAAAATCAACAAAACAGACAGAAACAGTATAAGATCTTTTGACAGGAATAACTACATTATTCAAAAAACGGACCATTGTATAATTCTATCAAACCCTCTGTAGCTGTAAAAGAGTTTTAGACAGTGAGAGTTTTTTCAGTCAGAAACAAGTATAATCCATGGCAAAAATGCACAAGTCAGTGCGGGCTGCACTAATCCTGCAAACCTGAGCAATGTAGAACAAAATATGGTGAGTCATTCAGCCTTGTTCCCTCACCCAGAAACACCTGCCGTAAAACATGAAACCTTCAACCAACAATGTGTACCGCACAAAAATAGGGGGGAACAGTGATTGTCCTGTATGCACAAAAACGGCACTTTCTCTTAGCATTGGATCTAAACTCGGCAGCGTGTTTACTTTGTATCTTCTCAGAAGATATAATGACTTCCTCTAACAAGTTGAAAAAAAGTTTGGTCTTTTCAGAACTTTTATGTATGATTATATATATTTCTATATTTAGTGGATATGACTCTGCTCGACTGCAGTTTGCTAATTGTCATTTAGATACTTCCAATCTTTTTTTCATGTGTTGTTTCTGTTTTAAATGTCTCATTCATATGACTGTGATTCTGTTGCGATGCCAGAATCCACACAAAGCTCTGCCGCTCTCATGAGGGCTGACAGATTTATGGTCGCTGTAGCCAATACAGTCTGTGCGGCTGACCTCTTAGCATCAATTAAATAATTAAGCCTGATACGATTTACTTTGTTTTGACATGTACAAATCGCTTCGCTTCAATTGTGTGTTCGGGTGTGTGTTTACTCGTGCCTTGCAGGACACACAGTCTGTGTCCTTGTAGTGGGTCTCTGCCATACAGTTGTACAAATGAAGTTATTGTAAAGTTCAATTTTTCGTTAAATGAAGTACCGCTGCACTTTGGCTCCGACACTACGAGGAATTATTTAGAAAATTTAGTTTTTGGCGTCAGCTGTGGGAAGCAGCATCAGATGCTCTTGCAGTTCTGTGAATCGATACATCCCTTATAAGAATTAGAAACAGGAGCAGCTGTGTGGTTACCAATAAACAACACTGTCTACGATCTTTTACAGTTTCATCCCAATGAATAGTATTGGGGTTCGCTGTGTGTGTGTGAAACCTATTTTAATAAATACATGTGACTGTGTGGACATGTGTGTGTGCTGGCTGGCAGCCAGTTGGCCAGTGTACGCGGTCTCCAGGCTAGTATTAATCAGATTGTTGACAGTGTGACCACAGAGCCTAAACCAGCACGAGATTAGTGACTGATAGCTCATTATATCATCTCGTGAATTGAGGAGTAGATCAACTGTTCAGTAGAGAGTAGCCAATATCCTTATCTCAATTTAGAGAGGGTGAACATTGTGCTAATTCTTTTTAGGGATTATGGTCAGTCAAAGAGCTTGGTTAACAGTGTCTGTGGGCCTGGTATTAGTAGAACGTGCTATTTAGCATTTTCAACTCCTGAGTTTCGTTTTCTATCTC